AGACGGCATAAGTTTACGTGAATATGCCAACAAAATACTCACCTCAAACAATGCCTATTAGTTGTTATCCTACCGGTAGAATTAATCCAAGCTTACCCTCGGCAAATCACACTTACGTTTGTTCTGATACCCAAACTACAATCATTCGCCTCATACTCGCTCGTTAAAACTACACATGTCTTCTACCAACAAGCGTAACCGACTTACCAAAAACAAAAGTGAAAGTCCACATGCTGTTGATGGACATCTTTCTTGGAAAAAGAAAACAAATGAGTATTAAAATTGAAAGCTATCTAATCTGCATGACTCTCCTCGGCACCTCAGTACATCTATACGTTGTCTATGTTGCGGTTCAGGGTCACCCCGGCTTCAATCTTACTTTCTTCGTCTCGTAATTGAACCAGGACATTTATGCCTTAACGACAAAGCGTTCCTTTGGCCACTATGGCTACAGTAGGCTGATGATGTTTACGCTATTTTGCCCATCGAAGCACCCAAACACCCTTCGACAGACGTTTGAATGGATAAGCGAAATAATTTCTACCTTACACTATTTCAGGAGTGTTTTAGCTGCTTATATCACATGTTCAAAATGACGCTAGCCCTGTGTAGGTTGGTTGATACTCCTGCAATAAAAATTGTTCACTTTCTGAATTTTTAATGCTCTTTCTAAACATCGTTTGTAATTAAAGACTTTTAGCAACATCCGGCACATTTTCATGGTCTACTATTTTACCACTGTTTTGACGCTCACGGTGATAGAAGAAAATGTTCAGTCACACCCATCTCAATTCTAGAAGTATTCTATGTAGCTTTTTTTTTGTAATTAAGTTCCTTTGGAGGCTGAGTAATAATTTAAACAGAAAAATTGCAAACTCGTTGTCGTCACAATTTTTCATAGAGGTCAATTGCTCAGGAAACGACGCACAACGTTTCGTTCTTCTACCCTAGGTTTTTCCTCTTATTTTTCTCCGGCAGTACAGCAAAAACTCTACTTGACTCATTTTCAATAACAGAGTTATAACAAAAGAAAACTACAAGATTACCTGAATGGGGATTGTTTCCTTTCTCTGCTAAAGTGTTTTTATGCCACAGTCGCTTTTAATGACAGAACAAATATTTTATTCGTGTATACATCAATAAAACCCTAACAGATGTTTCAAGCCGGTGGGGTTATACGTAAGCTACCAACATAGAGGCTCGACATATATTTATCTCACATAGCTCCTGAAGAGGAGTTTTTCAGAGCTAGGGGAATATCCACCACAAAAGGAAGTCAGCCTCTAGCCTTTCTAGTCGTATTACCTTTCTTTTACGAGTTTTCAGACGTGTCTCCAGCTTTTTATAATTAGCTTTCCAAATGCCCTACTTTTATTTTCGAAAGGAAGTTTTAACACACGCCGATACTTCCTCCTACTCTGTACATCGAAAGTGACATACCTTCAACTTCGTAAACAGTAAATCTATTGTAAGATTCAGTGTCTAAAGTTAAGTGCATTTGCTGAAAATTATTATATGGGTAACATATCTTAATCTGTGTTAACGAAAATAAACACCTAAGCACCATTTGTTATTTAGAAGCTGGATTACCTTATTCGTACTTAATTGCGGGGATCTTTAATTTCGCGTTTTTCGCGATTGCAAATAAATCACTAAAGTAAAGACCCGCGCATGAAAAAATCCTCGCAGAATATAAACAAGCGATATCTAATCCTCTTTGGAGAATTCAAATCGCAGAAAAAAAATTATCAAAACTCGAAAAAACAACATTTTCAAGATATGTGTCAACAAATACTCAAATGACTAATTGCTCTTACAGGTAACTTCTATTCATGTTCTATCTTCTGTTGTCAAATGAGGTTAATTTACAAAGATTTGGCTTGTGGAACAGAGAATCCAGTAATCATCTTCATTAAATGTTAAGACAGTTTGCAAAATGAAACGATTTTGCAAATTTAATGCCTTTTTTTAATTTGCCTATTGAAAAAGCGATAATAGAACCCTGCGAAGTATTGTTTCGCCAAAATCGCAAAATTAAGTACCCGAGAAACTGTAAATAAAAGTTCTCGCGAAATCAAGTAAGATAAAGATCGTTGGGTATGTTTACAGTGTTTCTTTTTGCCCGAAGATTGTGGGAAACCATGATCGAGCTGAAGACATCACTGAAATATTTTAATTTACTTTCTCTCCTACCGAAGAACCTAACCCTAAACATATTATTGTTCGCCTAACTTTTTCATTATTGATCAGCTAACGGGACGTTTCATATGGATATCAGGCTTTGTTGACGAGTTTAAGTAATTGAACATGGACCTATAGCTTACGTATGCACGCACGTGTGTGTTTAAGTGAACGCAAGGGAAATGAATGGGAAATTTTAGGGGAAATGCTTGTCTCAGCTGGGGTTGTCCTGGTTTTAGTGGCATCAAGGCTTTCGGCGTAGTCGTTTACCTCCTATACAGTAGAAATATTCGGTAAACTGTGAATCTTTCCCAGAATAGTACAGTGCCATCTTCAATGGCTGGAGCGGATACAGGGGATGGTTCGGGTGGTTGAGTCGAACCCCCTAAATTTTCCCTCAAAATGATGGAAATCATGTTTCCGAAGACCTGATTTTCAAAATCTCCCGAACCCCCCTGGACTTAATCCTGGATCCGCCCCTGAATGGGAGACCATTTCAGTCACGAAAGAACAGATATACTACAAAGTCACAACTGAAGAAAGCGAGAGAAGCTCGGCCATAAGCATAAGCAGCCTAGACTTGTAAATTATAATCAGAACTCTTCGAGCAGAACCAAATTGTCTAACAGACATCAACATATATAAAAAGCCCACACAGATGTTTATAGCTGGTATTTGATCTTTGCGCAAGCAATTGATAAACGTAAAGTCTGTTTTATTTTTAGTTCATTTGAGAGAGCCAAAGTGTCTTTTTTTATCGAGAGGCACAAGTAGCCTTAAAACAATTTAACAGGTAAGTTGAATATGTAACTGTTTTGATGAAGACAAACTAAAATAAAGTTCAGCCTGTTTTCGTTGCTAGCCACAAGAGTCCTTATTTCCACCCAGCATAATCTTAAAAATTAATCTAGCTCTCGAATATATTATTTTTGGTTATTGAAAGTTTTAAAATTTTTCATGGCAAGACATTTCGCAGTTCAGTTTGCTATCAATGTAATACTCCTAATTTATAAGTGCTATCAAAAGGTCGTTATCTCTCGAATTAAATATTCAAAACTGTAGTAAACTGAATAGTCAATCATACTTTTACCTCCACGTGTTTTGTGAGTATTTAAATACCAAAGGATTTTGCGATCATAATTAGATTTTTGGGAAGAACTTGTCAAAATGTCAATGGAGCATTTGTTTTGCATAATACACATGTTTTACATATTTTTGTAAAAGTATAAATAGATACGTCCCTCGCTTCAAAAGTCAGAAGAGAAGGCACAGAATTGTAAGTAGTGTAGTGATTTTCTTGTAACTTTTGTGACTCCTGTAGTTAGTTGTATCTGTAAAATATTGTAATGTATATATTTTCTTTCCGTTGTAGTTTGACAAAAACTTAAAACGTAATTAAACTCAGTGTTTGTTTAAAAATCTGCTTCGTGGACGTCTCTTCCGAAAAGATAAACATATACCCAATTCAGCATTTCATTTTCCTCAATGGTTTATTCTTTTCAATTTCTCAGACCAAAAAGAAAAAAAACAGCTGAAAACCTTTTTTCTGTACGATAAACAATTAATTCTCATACAGTAGCTAATACATAGCCAGCAAAACCGGCGTGTTGTTTTACGTTTTCAGGCGAGAGGAGACGATCGCGAGGCGGGCACGAAGTGTGAGTCGCCGAGCGTGAAAGGGGAGGAGCGCGAAAAAATTCACGCCTGTACTGATCACGCTATTATTCAAGCTCTTACGCCCCCAGACACACCTCCTCTCACTAAGCAATCACAGCACACAAAAATGGGGGATGGCTTTTTTTGCAGGCCGCACCTGGGGCCAATATGAGAACGACCACCAGTGAGATCGTCCCACGGTTCAACAATGACTAAGATGCAGGATATAGACGACAAATCATGGTAAAACTCCCACGAAGACATATACCACCCGCTCAACTTAAGGAAAATACTTGTAGATTCTAATCTGTATCGAGTTGATCTGAATGAATGGGACGCATGTCATCTTAGGCCTGCATGAGGTCTCCCTGACAGTAACGCCACCACCCATTTGTACGGTACTCTTGGTTGGGTAGAGGTATTTTAAAGTAAAGTGCCTTGGCCAAGAGTATTACACATGACCTGGCCTTGACACAAAACCTTTCAGATAAACCAGAGCACAGCCCACCAATATTAACTCCATGTTGCTGTATCTCCCTCGTGGTGAACACTGCTACAGAAATGTATCTGTATTTTAAAGTTGATTGCGAAAAAGATAGGGACGAGTGTGGTCGCGGTGTACCCACC